AAACTATTACGAATAGTCTTAGAATAAAGACAATAGATCAGGGGTTTTCAAACCTTTTCTTTCTATTACCCCTTTCACGTCCTTGATCGATTGCATTGCCCCATTTCCCCAAGAAATCCTTACTATTTTGCGATCTTTTCTTAGGTTTTTCCTGTATTTTTCATTATAAATCATCCTGACTGAATAGAAAATCTTAAATTATTACCGCCCCCAAAGTTTTATGCTAAACTACAAATTACCCCACAAAAATTTCAAAACTACCCAATTAGGGATAATGGAACAAGGTATTGAATCCACTTGGAATAATAAAAAAAAATTTCGAGAAAATCGATTTTTAGGAAATGTAGTAAATACAATAGCGCTAAAATAAAGACGGGACCCAAGGATCGATTTAATGATGTGAACTCATTAAAATGATACGGTGTGTGGTTTCGTATATCAAAGTGATAACGCGACAATTTCTTTATTAGAATACTTTATAATAATTCCTCTCATGTATAATGATATGACTCGTCATTTTTAACATGACCTAGCATTTCACCCCAAACTGTTTGTGTGCATATTATTTATTTTATTGAAAGAAGTCCGCCAAAGTTCATTAATATGATAAGATAATTCATGGTATAAGAATTAGAATTTATACAACTTTAAAGTGAAATATGAACTCTATATCATGCTTGCGCCACATTGCAGTTAAGACCAAAACTTTGACCGTCTGACCTTGCATGGTTCTGAATTTCAAGTTCCTACCATGCAAACTCCTACTACGGCACTTTAAGTTTTCTTACACACGCTGTTGTAGGATTTTCCTATTGAAATTAAAGGGATCGATAGGCCATGTTTTGACCAATCATACTTTAGTCTCAGAAACTGGACTTTTTTTTAGCTGAGCGATCAGTAATATTGTTCACAGCTCAAGGAAATTTGACCCTTCAATTCCGTGTGTCATTGGTTTGAATGTTAAAATAACGACTCGTAAATTTAAGATACTCCGTAATATATAGAAAAGACACCCACATATATATATATATATATATATATATATATATATATATATACTTATATATATATATATATATATATATAGAAATATAGTCCGAAACATCTGACTCTATTCCAGCCTCTGATGGATATTTTGACACTTGTCAGCTGGAGTAGAGTCAGGAGAAAAAGACCTTGTTAAAAGGGGATTTTCCACATCTCCAAAGATGCGTTTTCTCTGGCATAATATTGAATTACCTTTAAGATGAGTGTTGGGCATCATCGTAACTTTCGTTTTGTCAGTATCACGTGACCTTTGAACCTTTAAATGACCGATGCTAGATCAGTTTCGCCAAAAAAAAAAACTTTAATGGAACTGGAGACATGACATAAATGGTGTAGGGAGAAAAATGATGGTATGACAGAACTACAAAAATATTCATCTTTCCAAATATCCTTGGGTTTTGCAGATCCGAGTTATCTAAGTAGATTTAAAAACCCCGCACCTGCGGAGATGCGGAATGTCCCCATTTAACAGGACGTATTATATCTGTCTCTAGAACGACTAGACGCTTTTTCCATGTCAGCCCCTCTTACCTGCATCACTGACAGGGGGAAACTGGGTTGAAAAATCCGAAGGTATTATCTCGACCTATGCCGGGATTGAACCCTGGACCTTCAGGTTAGCGAGCAAGCGTCTAACTCACTGAGCCACCGCGGCTCCCAGAGGCTGGAATAGAGATAGATGTTTCGGTCTAATAGAGCAACGCTCAATTATGTGATTTCCGGATTTTCGTACATTTCCAGTACTTCTAAAGAATATTTAGATATATTCAAGATTAAATCAACCCCCAAATTGGCAAGCCACTGAGTCCTAGGGGTGACACCGGACCGACTCTCGAAAGCACAGTAACAGGCATTAGAATTTCTCTTACCTTGAGGAAGATTCGAGCGCAAGGCACCTAATCGCCTATGAAACGACAATCCAACTCGCTAACGACTGAGCTATTCCATTGCCACAAAAAACAGTGTTTCGAAGTTGTTAACCCCTTCAGGGAGATATTCATGTAGCATGGCACGGGCAAAGATAGGTATTAGGGGGTGTGAAATGAAAGAGCACTTCGTTGGGCATCTTCTCAACAGAAATTGATGATAAAAGAATTAACTTGGCGATATTCCATGGCCCATCAAAGATTTGTACACTGTCCGCCAATTGCTCCAAAGGGGTTAAAATGGCACTTTTAGATCCCGACATTTTCCTAAACCAGTTTTCGATGGATTTTCCTCTTGAAAATTAGGGTAATACTACAAAGCCGACTTTCTCAAAAAAATTCATCTGATACAACAATTATACCTCTGGGTCAAAATTGGTTGAGTTATGGACATTCGAAGATGGGCGTGTGTGTCGGCAACCAGCCTATACGGTCCAATACCGAAACTCTTACATGCTGCATTTTGGAAACTAGAGATATATCTGAAAATGCTTGGTTCAGAATTTCAAGTTCCTACCATGTAAACTCTACCTGCTACGACACTTTCAGTTCCCAACCTTTTCCTAAACGAGCGAATTTCTTCTTGAAAATAAGGGTTAAACTTCAGTTTTCTCGAAAGTTTGAAAAAATTCCGAATTTCAGGTTTCGACTGAAATAGACGCAGGACACGTTACACTTTCATCTCATAAAAAATATACCTCTAGGGTCAAAATTGGTCGAGTTATGGTCTTAAAGATGGGAGTAGCATTGAAATAGGTCTTTCATGTCTTGCTGTACAAGTAAGGGTTAAGACCAACAGTTTGACAGGCTGCCATTCGTTAAAATTTTAACTGCACGTATACATCAAATCATGCCATTATTTCAATCAACTATGAAATTGAGGTCTTTTTGTAACGATTGTTGTAAAATATCTATATCTTTAATGGAATAATAAATGGTTGTGTCATCAGCAAAAAATTCTGTGGTTGAATGATTTACAAATAATAGTAAGAATAAAATTTGGTCCTGAAATAGAACATTGAGGAAAGCTACATTTAACTATTGTTCTTTTGAGAACGAATATTGCCAAAACAAAGTTTTCGTTCTCTATCAGATATATAACTATGCATTAAATCAATAAAATTGGTATGAAAATTATAAATTAAATCAAATGCTTTGCTGAAATCTAGGTAAACTACACCACCATGTTACTTATTGCTTCGAATCAACCATCTGTTATTCTGATCAAGGATCAAGGAAGTTATGGCAATTTTCTTAGAGGGATAATTATGAAATTGGCCCTTCTCGTTTAGCTATATAGTCTCTGTCTAGACTCATGTCCCTATCTCGCATAATGCATTTTAAGTTCCCAATCCTTCCATATAGCATATTTCGCGGAATCTCTCTCTTAAAGTGACAGATGCGCCATTTTCTTGGACTTTTTCAGCTAAGCCAATCAATAATAGTTGTTACAGCTCACCGACAAAATTTGACCCTCCAAATCCATGTGTATCAATCTGTGATATATAGAAAAGACATATAGAGAATAGTGAGTAAAATTTCTAGTTTGAAGTATTTTTAAAATCAACACCCCAGAATGGCGCACTTTCCCTTCAAAAGCCGTGTAAAAAATATGATTTTGTCGAAAGTTTAAAAAAATTGTTGGATACAAATTATTATCGCTGGGGTAAAAAATGTAGTCATTTTCATAAAGCATAGCACTTTAAGAACCTTTGTGATATTGTCCGAAAAAAAGTTACCTCTCAAGTCAAAATTGGCAAAGTTATGGTCATTTTAGCCCCTACATTATTACTACATCCTTGCTTCACAGGTTGGGATTATGACAGACTGCCTCTCTAACTCTATCAGAGATGTACATGCAGTAATTTGACAGTTTTGTTGACACATTCGTCATGCTCCATAATGTTTCGTTTTCATACAATTTTGTGATTTGATTGCGCTTATATATGCTGACGATTAAAATGTAAATAAAATATTAATAAACAATGAGGGTAGTTCCTACCACCAATGACTTCCGAGGACGTCTGTTGGAAGACACAAACCTTAACCTCTTACTTTATCCTTTTTAATAATCCTTCAGCGACATTTTGGGGCGGAGAACACATTAAATAACAGAACAGAATTTTATGGTATATTACTCCTTAGTTGTGTGCACTAAAACTAAGGAGTAGTTTACCATAAAAATATATATTCTTTTTGTATAAATCTTCAAATATTCGATGTACACGGAACAAATATGACCAAGGGAATGAACATAAATACAGGGGTTCTGATTGAGGTTTTTTACTGATAAACTCATCTAATGAGAAACTGAATGGCAAATGATAAGTAGATAGGTTGTTTCCTTTCCACTGCTAGTGAACAACCCCAAATCTGACAAAATATTTCTCTACTAGTGTGAAATCATATTAAAATAAAGACTGTGAAATACGTTCTCCATACTTATCTATTTTCCTAAATCATAAATATGTGTGGGAAAATTGTCTCCCTTTATATCACATACCTATGGTATGAGGATTACGTTTTACGTCTTTGTGTTGCCCGAATGAAATGAACTTTGGTCAACACTTTTAAAGGACTTTAAACTTTGCATGAAAAGATAAAATAATTTTTACACGAACATTCTTTAAGGTAATTTAAAGCGCTGAATTTGTTATGGAACATGATATATTTCCAGAGCACAATTGTCAATGGAATCAATAAAACAATGATTACTATATCATAGAACCAAAAGATCCAGAACACTGTTATGACAATATAAATTGACGTTTCAAGCAAAAAAAATGAAATGAAATGAATGGAGTTCTACGTCTTACTTTTCTGCACCATGTGCTCTTTAATAAATAAACAAAAAGTAAATTTAATAAATAAAAATAAAACGGAAAAATCATTATTTATCTTCTACAGTCATTTGTTTATTACGTGGTTAATGACATAGGAGTTAATCTTGTATGAAAATCATCGTGCTTATATAATCTGGTCATTTTATATCAGTCGTTTAGTCAGATATATTACCTAGATATCAAAATGACTAAAGGGTACCTATGCCTGTTAGTTCTTATTCTGCTAACGTGTACTGGTAGCTGCTTATCTGCCACTCAAATTCCATCACTACCAGACAAATCAGCACCAATTAATGGTATACAGAGTACGAATTGGAATGTGTCAACACTTCTTAGTGGTGGTTTTAATGCTTTTGGAAACTTCATAAATCAACAACAATTCAATGAATCTTTTGTTACATGTTTAGGAGATATCGAATATGTTAGTAAATCTGTGGGGCAGCATGAATTGTGGGCTCTTAAAAGTAAGTTCATCGACAAATTTTCCACAATTGTCATAACTATTATGATGACTGATCCCACTGTGCCTATATTGACAAGGTGTCTAAAATCTAACTTGACATTTTGAAGGAAGTTGCTGTACATATAAGTACCCACACTCCTCGACAGTTCTTATAACAGACAAATTCTACTAGAAATATTCTCGCTGAAGAAAGTACGTTGTTGAAAGCACTTTCTATGATATTTTGAGCTTTATTTTTTTTTTTACTTTTTAGCATTGTCTGGGGACGGGTATATAATTTTTTTAGATTTAGAAAATATATTCATTCATTTAGTTTATTGAATTGTTCCAACTCAATATTTATTTTTTTTCATTATTTTTTTTTTATAAATTAATTGATTTCTGTA